AGACACTCCAAAAACATACCAAATGGTAAAGAGCATCGACACAATGTAGAAACTGTGTCAACTAATGGGCAAAACAACCAGCTAGCATCAAAATGGCAGGGTCAAATTCACACATAAGAATATTAACCTTAAATGTAAATGGGCTAAATGCCCAATCAAAAGACACTGACTGGCAAATTGGATTAAAAAGTCAAAACCCATCAGTGTACTGTATTTATGAAACCCATCTCACATGCAAGGATACACATAGGCTCAAAATAAAGTGTTGGAGTAAGATTTATCAAGCAAATGGAGAGCAGAAAGCAAGGGTTGCCATCCTAGTCTCTGATAAATAGACTTTAAAGCAACAAAGATCAAAAGAGACAAAGAAGGGCATTACATAATGGTAAAAGGATCAATGCAACAAGAAGAGCTAATGATCCTAAATATATACGCACCCAATACAGGAGCACCCAGATACGTAAAGCAAGTTCTTAACGACCTACAAAGGGACTTAGACTCCCACACAATAATAGTGGGAGACTCCACTGTCAATATTAGACAGATCAACAAGAAAATTAACAAGTATATGCAGGACTTGAACTCAGATCTGGACCAAGCAAACCTAATAGACATCTACAGAACTCTCCACCCCAAATCCACAGAATATACATTCTTCTCAGCACCACATCACACCTACTCTAAAATTGACTATGTAATTGGAAGTAAATCACTCCTCAGCATATGCAAAAGAATGGAAATCATAACAAACAGTCTCTCAGACCACAGTGCAATCAAATTATAACTCAGAATTCAGAAACTAACTCAGAACTGCACAACTTCAGGGAAACTGAACAACTGGCTCTTGAATGTTGACTGGATAAACAATGAGAATAAGGCAGGAATAAAGATGTTGTTGAAAACCAACGAGAATGAAGACACAATGTATCAGAATCTCTGGGACACATTTAAAACACTGTCTAGAGAGAAATTTATAGCAATAAATGCCCATATGAGAAATGAGGAAAGATATAAAATTAACACCCTATCATCAAAATTGAAAGAGCTAGAGGAGCAAGATCAAAAAAAAAAAAAAACTCAAAAGCTAGCAGAAGACAAGAAATAACTATGATCAAAGCAGAACTGAAGGAGATAGAGACAGAAAAAAAAATAAATAAATCAAGGAGCTGGTTTTTCAAAAAGATCAACAAAATAGACAGAATGCTAGCCAGATTAATAAAAAAAGAAAAGAGCGAAGAATCAAATAAATGCAATAAAAAACAATAAAGGGGATATCCCCACTGATTCTACAGAAATACAAACTACCATCAGAGATTACTACAAGGAATTCTATGCACATAAACCAACAAACGTGGAAGAAATGGATAAATTCCTGGACACTTGCACCCCCGCAAGCCTAAACCAGGAAGAAGTCAAAACTCTGAATAGACCACTAACAAGGGCTGAAGTTGAGGCAACAATTAATAGCCTACCAACCAAAAAAAGCCCACGTCCAGATGGGTTCGCAGCTGAATTTTACCAGACATACAAAGAAGAGCTGGTACCACTCCTTCTGAAACTATTCCAAACAATCCAAAAAGAGGGAATCTTTCCCAAATCATTTTATGAGACCAATATCATACTGATACCAAAACCCAGCAGAGACTCAACAGAAAAGGAAAACTTCAGGCCAATATCCACGATGAACATAAATGCAAAAATCTTCAATAAAATACTGGTAAACCAATTGCAACAGCACATCAAAAAGCTTATCCATCACGATCAAGTAGGCTTCATCCCAGAGATGCAAGGCTGGTTCAACATATGCAAGTCTATAAATGTAATTCACCACATAATCAGAACCAAAGACAAAAACCACGTGATTATCTCAACAGATGCAGGGAAGGCCTTCGATGAAATTCAACAGCCGTTTATGCTAAAAACATGCAAGAAACTAGGTATCAATGGAACCTATCTCAAAATAATAAAATCTATTTATGACAAACCCACACAGCCAGTGTCATCCTGAATGGGCAAAAACTGGAAGCATTCCCTTTGAAATATGGCACTAGACAAGGATGTGCTCTTTCACCACTCCTGTTCAATACAGTATTGGAAGTTCTAGCCACAGCAATCAAACAAGAAAAAGAAATAAAGGATATTCAATTAGGAAAGGAGGAAGTCAAATTGTCTCTATTTGCAGAAGACATGATTGCATATTTAGGAGACCCCATTGTCTCAGCCTAAAATCTCCATAAACTGATAAGCAACTTCAGCAAAAAGTCTCAGGATACAAAATCAATGTGCAGAAATCACAAGCATTCCTATACACTAGTAACAGACTAAAAGAGAGCCAAATCAAGAGCAAACTGCCATTCACAATTACTACAAAGAGAATAAAATACCTGGAAATACAACTAACAAAGGATGCAAAGGACCTCTTCAAGGAGAACTACAAACCACTGCTCAACGAAATAAGAGAGGACACAAACAGATGGAGTAACATTCCATGCTCATGGTTAGGAAGAATCAATATTGTGAAAATGGCCATACCACCCAATGTAATTTATAGATTCAGCACTATGAACCTCTTCACAGAACTGGAAAAAGCCACCTTAAAGTTCATTGGAACAAAAGAGAGCCCGCATAGCCAAGACAATCCTAAGTAAAAAGAATAAAGCTGGCGGCATCACACTACCTGATTTCAAACGATACTACAAGACTACAGTAACCAAAACAGCATGGTACTGTTACCAAAACACAGATATAGACCAATGGAACAGAACAGAGGCCTCAGAGGCAATGCCACACATCCACAACCGTCTGATCTGTGACAAACCTAACAAAAACAAGCAACGGGAAAGGAATTACCTGTTTAATAAATGGTTTTGGGAAAACTGGCTAGCCATGTGCAGAAAACAGAAACTGGACCCCTTCCTGACACCCGACACTAAAATTAACTCCAGATGGATTAAAGACTTTAAGACCTAACACCATAAAAACCCTAGTAGAAAACCAAGGCAAAACCATTCAGTACATAGGCATAGGCAAGGACATCATGAAAAAAATACCAAAAGCATTGGCAACAAAAGCCACAATAGACAAATGGGACCTAATTGAACTCCAGAGCTTCTGCACAGCAAAAGAAACAATCATTAGAGTGAACAGGCAACCAACAGAATGGGGAAAAATTTTTGTAATCTACCCATCTGACAAAGGGCTAATATCCAGAATCTACAAGGAATCTACAAATTTTTGCAATCTTCCCATCTGACAAAGGGCTAATATCCAGAATCTACAAAGATTTACAAGAAACAAACCACCCCATTCAAAAGTGGGTGATGGATATGAACAGACACTTTTCAAAAGAAGACATATATGAGGCCAACAAACTTAAGAAAAAATGCTTAACATCATTGGTTATTAGAGAAATGCAAATCAAAACTACATTGAGATACCATCTCATGCCAGTTCGAATGTCAGTCATTAAAAAATCTGGAGATAACAGATGCTGGAGAATGTGGAGGATGTGGAGAAATAAAAACACTTTTACACTGTTAGTGGGAGTGTAAATTAGTTCAATTATTGTGGAAGACAGTGTGACAATTCCTCAAGGATGAAGAAAGAGAAATTCCATTTGACCCAGCAATTCCATTACTGGGTATAGAGCCAAAGGATTATAAATTGTTCTATTAAAGATACACATGCATAGGAATGCTCATTGCAGCACTGTTTACAATAGCAAAGACTTGGAACCAACCCAAATGCCCATTGATGATAGACTGGACAAGGAAAATGTGGCAAAAAGACACCATGGAATACTATGCAGCCATAAAAAATGATGAGTTAGTGTCCTTTTTAGGGACATGGATGAATCTGGAAACCGTCGTTCTTACCAAACTGACACAAGAACAGAAAATCAAACACTGCTTGTTCTTACTGATAGGCAGGTGTTGAACAATGAGAACACATGGACACAGGGAGGGGAGCACCACACACTGGGGTCTGTTGGTGGGGAATAGAGGAGGGACAACAGAGGGTAGGAAGTTTGGGGAGGGATAACATGGGGAGAAATGCCAGGTATCGGTGCTGGGGTGATGGAAGCAGCAAACCACATTGCCATGTATGTACCTATGCAACAATCCTGCATGTTCTACACATGTATCCTAATCTAAAGTGCAAGAAAATTAAAAAAAAAAAATTTTAAGCATTGTTCAATCTCATTATGTAAGTCACATCATATATATATATATATATATGTGTGTGTGTGTGTGTGTGTGTGTGTGTGTGTGTTAAATATAAATTTTAAAGTTCCTAGAAATTTTAATAAAAATTTACTAGTCAAGGAGCTAACATTGTCTACTATATTGAAGGAGTAACTTTGTTTTCAGATTCTATTGAATCTTAAAGTCCTTCTAGTAAAACATATACCTTATACACTACCAAAAAATTCTAATTAAACTGTGTCATAATACTTTCTTATTTCTTCAGATTTTTATTTTATACTTGCCAAAAGAATTACTTTAGACTCATTTATATGTGGATTTTTAGTAATTACTTCAGGGCACTCATGCAAAAAGAAAATTTAAACAAAATGCATTTATTATATTCCTCAAACATCTTTGAATTCAGAGTTCAATTCTTCTGAATCACTTTTAAACTCAACTTGTCAGTATCTGTTTTTCAAACATATTATCTCTTGGATCATCTAGAACATTAGTGCTATAGCTGTTTCTAAAATACTAATCCCATATTATCTCTAGTATTTTCTTTCAGGCCATTGATACTCCTCCAGTCTGCCAATTTTGAAACTGGCACTTTCCTGACTTCCAGAATATTTCAGTGAAAGGTTTTTTTTTTTGACAACAACTGATCTTGATATTCCTTTCTTAAATTATCTTTATAAAGTTGTAGACATTAAGATAAAGGCATTGCAATTGTCTGGTCACGTGTGAGAATATAAACCTAGTTCACTCCTTCATTGACAGCCCCAACATGTCTACTCCCTGGATGATAGAGATTATAAGCTGCTGCCTTGAAGCTGGAGAAAAGACCACGATGTGCTGCCTGACCACGCCCATGCTGCTTCAGGCCCTGGCCCAGGCTGCCCGTGCAGGACATCCTGGTAGCCGGAGCCTCCACAGCAGTGCAGTGGCAGCCACCTACAAGCATGTGAACATGCAGGAGCCCAAGATGGACATGAGGTCAGTGACTGACTGGGCAGCCCAGACCCTCCTGTGGACCGAGCTCCTCCGAGGCCTGGCCATGACCCTGAGCTACCTGTTCCGGGAGCCGGCTACCATCAACTATCCGTTCGAGAAGGGCCCACTGAGCCCTCACTTCCGTGGGGAGTATGCCCTGCGCCATTACCCATATGGGGAGGAGCGCTGCATTGCCTGCAACCTCTGCGAGGCCATCTGCCCTGCCCAGGCCATCAGCATCGAGGCTGAGCCGAGAGCTGATGGCAGCCGCCGGACCACTCGCTATGACATCGACATGATCAAGTGCATCTACTGTGGCTTCTGCCAGGAGGCCTGCCCCGTGGATGCCATAGTCGAGGCACGTGCGGCCCAGGGTGGGAGGAGTGGAGGATCTTTGGCGGGCCCTGACCACCACCCCTGCACCCCCACCTGCAGGGCCCCAACTTCTAGTTCTCCACAGAGACATACAAGGAGCTGCTGTACAACAAGGAGAAGCTGCTCAACAACAGGGACAAGTGGGAGGCGGAGATCTCCGCCAACATCCAGGCTGACTACCTGTACCGCTGACACCCGCCCTCTGCTCAATAAAACTGTTCTCACCTTGCCACCTCCTATCTTGACTGGTGGGCCAAGGTGGGCCCATCCCCAGCCTGCCTCAGGCCTGTGGCACCTCCAGCTGGAGCAGGTCGCCACCAGCTCCCTGCTCTCTGGGGTCCTGCTGCCCGGCCCTGCCTTCCTGTGGACTCCAGGGCCCTACCAGGCCCTCATGACAGCATCCCTGTCACCCTGCCTCTTCCCTGGCATCTTCCCCAAGGTCCAGCAATGCCAGAGGTCACCACAGACCTTCTGTTCCCACTGTCCTGGGTGTCCCAGCTGGAGCCTGGGCCTCCTGTCTCCTGAGAGCCACCCACTTCTAAGACCCTTAAGACCTGGAGCCTCCCAAGGCCTTAGGCTGAGGGACAGCAAGTAGCAGAAACTCAGGCCAGGGCATCCCTGCTGGGGGTAGGAGGAAGCCTGCTTGGGGTGACAGTCACACGGGAGTGACAGTCACACGAGGGTGACACAGGCCCTCCTGGCCCTGTGCTGGCCTTGCCTCTAGCCACATCCTCTTTCCTCCCCATGTTCCCTGGCCACTGCTAATAAAAAAGAAAAAGAAAAAAAAAAAAAAAAGACAGATCCTAATTTCAGAAATGTTAAAATATAGAAAAATGTGTATTTTAGAATTAATGACATGTGGCATTAACATTGTTAATTTTTTTTGTAATTGCAATACTTTAAAAAGTTTTAACAAAACTTCATATGCCACATTGTCACCATATTATCTGGAGCACCTATGTGTAAATCCTTGTTGTATAAACAAGAAGCAGCTCAATTGAAAACAACATCTGCATTTCAGGAATTCATCTAGTTACTATGAAAGGCTATGGAACAGATGTTCACTGGGAACTGATAACCTATGGAGGCAAAGAGGAGTAGTTCTAGGGATTCAGAGACATTCAGGAATAGGAGTTTTTCCTTTATTATACTCCATAGAAAATGCAGTTTCACAGTTTTAGGTTTTTCTCTTAAATAGCTAAAATGTTAGAATTCAGAATCAGATGGCAAGCAAGCTCATCAAGATATAAGAGAAAGTTGTAACCCAGTCCAAGCAAAACAGTAAAATGATCCAAGAGTTGAAAGATGACATAACCATTTAAGAATGAACCAAACTGAACTTTCAAAGATGAGAAATTGACTGCAGGAGTTTTAGAATACAGTTGGAAGCATTAACAACAGGATAAACCAAGCAGAGGAAAGAATCTCAGAGTTGGAAGACTGCTCCTTCAAAACAACACAGGTAAACAAAAATGAAAAGAATTTAAAGAAATGAACAAAACCTCCAAGAAATATGGGATTGTATAAAGAGACCAAATCTGACTCATTGGCATTCCTGAAAGAGGAGAAAGAGCAAACAACTTGGAAAACATATTTAAGAATATAGTTCATGAAAATTTTCCCAATCTTGCTAGAGAGGTTGACATACAAATTCAAAAAATTCAGAGGACCCCTGTGACATACTATACAAGACAACTATCCTCATGATGCATAGTCATCAGATTCTTCGAGATCATTGTGAAAGAAAAAATCTTAAAGGCACATAGAAGAAGCAGGCCACTTACAAAGGGAACTCCATTAGGCTAACAGCAGATCTTTCAGCAGAAACCTTGCAAGTCAGAAGAGATTAGGGGCCGATTTTCAGCATCCTTAAAAGAAATTCCAATCAAGAATTTAATATCTCACCAAAGCTTCATAAACAAAGGAGAAATAAAATTCTTTTCAGATAAGCAAATGCTCGGAGAACACATTACCACTGGATTTGACTTCTAAGAGGTCTTAAAGGGAGTACTAAACATGGTAATAAAAGAACAATCCTTGCTACCAAAAAAAAAAACCACACTTGAATATGTAGCCTATTGTCACTCCACAATCAAGTCTTTGTAATAACCAGCTAACAACATGATGACAGGAACAAATCCTAACATATCAATACTGTCCTCGAATGTAAATGGGCTGAACACCACACTCAAAATGGTAGGCACAAGCTGGGTAAAGAAGCATGACCCAGTTGTCTGCTATCTTCAAGAGGCCCATCTCACAAGTGATGACACTTACAGACTTAAAGTAGAAGGATGGAGAAAAATCTGTCATGCAAACAGAAAACAAGAAAGGGCAAGGATTGCAATTTTTATATCAGATAAAAAAAAACCTTTATGCCAACAATGATCAAAAAGGACAGAAAAAAAAAAAAAGACATTGCATAATGACAAAGGATTCAATCCAAAAAGAAGAGGTAACTATCCTAAATATATTGGCACCAAACATTGGAGCATCCAGATTCAGAAAACAAGTTTTTAGAGATTTAGACAAGCACACAATACTTTTAAATCTTTAAGTACTAGAGTTTGTCATATAATAGGAATTCTTAACAATTCTGACATGTTTTAGCAGTGGAAGTGCATACAACCTTATGTTCATCATTATGTTTTAAGGATTGATCAAAAAATCTCAGTTAGACTACAGATACTGAATTTCTCAGCATACTTAATTTCTTCTTTTGAAACTTCTTGAAATTTCTTCTTTCTTGATTTGTACATAACATCTTAATCTTATGACACATTTTTTTGAATCAGCAACCAAATGTTTGCTGAGCTGGACTTTGGCTTCAATGACCTCTGCAAAGCCAATCACAGCATATATAACACCTTGGATATAGCCATTTAAAAATTACTATCTCTGGTTGTTCAAATTTTTTCACTTTGATTCTTCACCTTGTTTTTCCCTTGACATTGTACCTCTTTCAGTGGGCCCCCAAGTGTTCCTCACATAGGCCATTGCTACAACTTGTTCATAAAAAAAGAAAAACCCAAAAAAACAACAAAAAACTCTTTATTTTTAGACTGGCTTTCAAATAAGAATTCCCTATAGAGAGATTTTTAGACTCTTTTCTCTCCCCTCTCACCTTCCCAGCTCTTGCTGATATGACACTAAGATTGTGTATGCTTGGGCTTGGAGTGGCATTCAAATCATGAGGAATTAATGAGTATTTGGGACTCAGATTTATTAAATTAGAGCAGAATTCAAATAATAAACATTTCTCAACATAATTCATTGAAATCTTTACAATTATGTGCTACTCTACTCTTTACAAAAGAAAAAAATAGCCAAACTTGTGTTAGTCAGTTCTAGTAATTCTTGTTGATCTACCAATCTCTAAAATTACAGTAGTCTATCACAATAACATCTTATTTCTTACTTATATACATCCTTGCAGTTTGCCAGGTCCTTGTTCCATGCCTTCCGGAAGCCAGGTTCCCTCCATTTGTGCAGCTGCACCTTTTTCTCATTTCTTGGAGTCCTTAGGGAATTACATGAGATACAGTTTTATAAGCTGGGCCCGGAAGTGTGCACATCACTTTTCTTCACATTCCATTGAACTGAACTCAATCATCTGGTTATACCTAACTGCAATTGAGACTGGAAAATGTATTCTAGCCATATACCCAGTGATAATAATATGGATAGTAGTGAGCACCAGCTCTCTCTGACTCAGTTAATTTTGAGTAGGCTATTAAGCAGTATTTGAGATATACCCTCCAAATTTGTTGAAAATGTTCAAACAAAATAATGTTATTCAAATACAGGTATATATGAATAAATATAAATGTATTATAGATTCCATTTTTTGTTGATTGGAGCTTTATTTAATATCTGAGGAGAAAATTAGAATTAAGATGATAATCTATCAACTGAAATGATGAACATAAAATATATTGAGAGGGTTTCACATAATAAATGCATGACTTTAAGGGAATACATGATTTTGCTCAATATGTAGGTCCATGTTTAAAGATTTCACAATGTTAGACCTAATACATATTTATAGATAACACTCAAAAACAGCAGACTCTACATTCTTCTCAAGTGGGCATAGAACATTATTCAAAATAGAACATATACTAAGCCATAAAATAAAGCTCAACAAATGTAAAAAGACAAAAAAATTTCAAAGTATCTTCTCTGACCACAATGGAATGAAATTAGATATTAAAAACAAAGAAATATGGGACCTCATGAATATGTGGAAATTAAGCGATACACAATAAATAATCAGATTCAATGAGTATATCAAAAGATAAATTTTAATATGATTTTAGATGAATAACAAAAGGCCAGGCATGGTGTCTCATATCTATAATCCTAACATTTTGGGAGGCTGAGGCAGGTGGATCACTAAAGGTCAGGAGTTCAAGACCAGCCTAGTTAACATGGTGAAACCCTGTCTCAAGTAAAAATGCAAAAAATTAGCCAGGTGTGGTGGTGCATGCTTGTAATCCCAGCTATTCGGGAGGCTGAGGCAGGAGAATTGCTTTAACCCAAGAGTCGGAGGTTGCAGTAAGCCAAGATCGCACCATTGCACTCCAGTCTGGGCAACAAGAGTGAAACTCTGTCTCTCAGAAAAAAAATAAAAAGAATATTACATTATGTGATAGAGTAAAATCAGTACTTAGAGGTAAATTTATACTGCAAATGACTACATTAAAATGGATCCAAACCTTCCACATTAAGACATTGGGAAAAAAAGAGTAAACTAAACCTGAAACAAGCAGAAGCAAGGAAATAAATGTTAGAAAGAATATTAATGATATATAGGATAGAAAAACAGAGAAAAATAATAAACCAAAAGCTAGTTCCTTGAAATGCCTAATGAAATTGACAAACCTTTAGCTCAATTAACCAAGAACAACAACAACAAAGACTCAAATTACTGGAATCAGAAATGAAAAGGGGGACATAAGAACTGACCCTAGAGAAATAAAGAGGATTATGAAGGAATAATACAAACAACTGTATCTTAAAGTATTAGACACCTTACATGAAATGGGCAAATTCCATTTTAGAAAGACACTGCAAATGACTATTAAAATAGATTCTAACCTTATATTAAGACATTGGGAAAAGGAGAGTAAACTAAACCTAAAATAAGTAGAAGCAAAGAAATAAATATTAGAAAGGAAATTAATGAGATGTTTTAGAAAGACACTAACTACTAAAACTGATTCAAGAAAAAAACAGACAATCTAAATTGACCTATAACAAGCAAAGAAATTGATTTAGTAGAAACCAAACAGCATGAAACTACTACCACACAAAAAAAGTCCAGGCCCAAATGGCTTGTGGTGAATTCTACCAAACATTTTAAGAAGCATAAGAATTTTTCACAACCTCTTCCCTCAAAAAGAATACTTCCCAACTCATTTTGTGAGTACAGTATTAGCCCAACCAAAACTAAACAAATGTATCGCAAGAAAACAATATAGAGGCTCTTATGAATATGAACATAAGGATCCTCAATAAAATATTAGAAAACTGAATCTAACAAGATATAAAAATTATATATATAATATACACACACATATACATATATATATATGTGTTGTGTATATA